TTCCCAAGGGGAGGGGGCTGCCCCTGCCTGCCCCTGTGGCGGGGCTGCTACGGGAAGGGGGGCTGCGTGCCGGGCGCTGCGGGGGTGCTGTGCTTCGGGGGCAGGTACTCGGGCCTGCTGACAGCCACAGTCCTGGTGAAGCAGCGCAGGTTGCCCGTCTTGAGGGCGCACTGCACCGGCCACAGGATGATGCAGAAGAGGATGATGATGAGGGCGGAGAGGAGGACGATGCGCTTCCAGTCGTCGCACATGTCGCAGCGGGACAGCCTCCCTGCCAGCCCTGTTGGAGGGGCCTCTGAGCTTTCAGGCTTGCTCATGGCAACGTCGATGGAGATACAGGAGTCTGGGTTCTCGGGGTCGTCTGAGGCCTGGCGGCAGCAGAGCTTGGTGCCTTCCATCCAGAGCACCTTCTCCTGCTGCAGCTCGGGGGGCAGCGTGGCGAGGTGCTCCTTGCTGGTCTCCAGCGCCGGGGCACCTTCCAGAGGGATGCAGGTCAGCTGCCTGCAGAAAGGGCAGGGCAGCTGGTCCTCGGGCTGGTTTGGGGGCAGCCCCGTGCTCAGGCGGGCCACGCATTCCAGGCAGAAAACGTGGGAGCACTGGAGCAGCTTGGGGGTCTTGAAGGTGTTGTCGTAGGTGTTGAAGCAAATGGAACACTCCACCGGGGACGCCGGCTTGGGAGACGTCGGGTGGGGAGAGCCTGGCTTGTCGGTGGGGGATCTGGCCTTCCTCTTGCCATCTCCTGGGGAGGTGACCACGATGGGGCTGATGGGGATGGGGATTTCACTTGGAGACGCAGGGACGGGGCTGGTGGGAGATTCCGGGGTGCTGGAATGCCAGAGCTGTGTGAAGCACGACATGACGGAGCCCGAGGAGAGAAAGAGAGCCCTGGGAGACTCTAGAAGAGAAGAAAACCACCTCCATTTTACATGACGTGAAGACAGCCATCACCACACCTATGTTTAACCCCTCAGAAGGAACCAAGAGCAAGTTCACAGCTTCCACTGCCTCCTGAGGCTGGGACAGATCCCTGCAGAGCTGAGAAGGACACAGGGAGCCTGCCAGAAGCTGCACACCGAAGGGGAAGTGAAACATCCTGCCATGAAGCAAGCAGCCAGCAGAGATCCAGCCCAAGCCTTTTCACCAGAACCCTCATGCCAATGTAGGTGGGTGAAGTTTGTCTTATTTTTCCCCATCCATGCCTCCCTCTGGGCAGAAGAAACACGACACAAACCTACCCCGGCTGGTGCTCCCCGACACCTGAGCAGGGAGGAGAGCAGAAGACTCCATGAGGTCTCGTAGGGACCTCGCTAGGACAGCCTATTAGCCTGGGACACACTCAGATATTATGGTGGCAGCATGAGCAAGGCCTAAGGGACAGATAAGACTGTTGAGTTGTGGAGGCAGCAGGGGGGTGAATCTGTGGGGTGGGCTCAGAGCTCTGGGCTTGGTCTCTGCGCTGCCCGGCAGACGAGCGAGGCAGCGCCCAGCGATGCTGCCTGGGTTTCACTGCCCACCCTGGGATCTGAGCTCCCTCCTGCCACAGGAGCACTCAGGGGAGGTGAGGAAACACTGTGCAAAGCTGGTTCCATCCTCTGCCCCCAAGCAGCGTGAGAAGCTCCTCTGTCCTGTCACCGTGACACAGCAAGAAAAGCGATGCTGGAGGAAACAGTGCAAGGGGTGTTCTCCACCCTTTCCTTCTTCTTCCCTGTCCTCAGCCCTGGAGAAGGGCCAGCAGGGCCTCACCGGGTGCTCCCTGCTCTGCTCTGCAAGCAGCTGAGTGGCTGAAAAGCCACTTGGAGTAAACTGGTTTACAACTCGCTCCAGCTCTTCCCATCAGCTGAAGTTTCACCTTGAATTCCAGTTACCCTGGGCTGGACACACACCTGGACACACAGACACAGCTGGACACAGCTTTTCACACCTTCTGCTACCCAGAAAGATCACATCTCAGCTCCTGAGGACTTTTGCCTGAAAGCAAGTGATTAGCTGGAGGAAATTCCCAGCCCTGGTGCCCTATGCCTGGGGAACATTTTTTTTAGGCTGTGTCACTGAACTGGCCAGGCTTGATTCTTTCTGTTGGGAGATGGACCCATGACAAGCCAGAAATGTTCAGATTGCTGCTGTAATTATAGGGCTGCAGTCAGCCCAGCAATGCCTCACCAGCACGGGCTCCTAGAGGCTCCACAGCTTGTCATGAAGAACCAATGTAAGGTATCAAAAAGCCTGCACATTCCTCACATTGCACACACACACCCCAAAAAATCTCTTATTATTTAAGAATTAAGCATTCTCCCATCACAGCTGGTATTTTCAGGGCTGAAACCACCTTTAAGAACCTTTTTTTCCTTCTCTTTTTCTAAAGAAAGACATTTTTGTGAAGCCCCTCCTCGTGTTTTCTCTTCAGTCACACACTATCTGCACATTTCAGCAAGTTGTCATGGGGTTTTTTTTAATGCACTTTTTTTTTCCTGGTGTGGGAAACTGTTCTTCTCTTCCCCACATGAGTCTAAACTCACCATGCATTTTTTAGCACCATCCGAAGCCCAGATGGCACAGAAATGAGGGGAAAACCCCTGGGTTGTTGTGGGTTTTTTTTTCACTAAATCTGCTTTGCAGAGCTCTATCCAGCCCAGGTCTCTGCTGATGGAGTGTTGGTCAGAAACCAGGAGCAGCAGAAGGGGTGGCAGGAGGTAACCTCAGAGCAAGCCCTGGCTTGTGCAAACTCATTTTACAACCTCTGTGAAAAAGCTGTTGGGTTTTTAGTGGCTGGTGATCCAACAGCTATTTAGCAACAGCAGTATCTTGGTAGTAAAGTGGAGGAAGTTTACTCACAACAGTTGCTCTTAAATTAAGATAAAAGCTTTTACCCGCATTTCCCCTTTGCTCAAGGTGGTTGTGAGGCTGTAGATGCTGTTGGTTTGAATCCATTCTGAGTCTACCTGGTTTTAATGGACTTTTTGGTGTTATGTGGCACCTTGACCAGACCTGGCACAGGGTTGAAGTGGGGAGAGCTGAAGAGCAGGGCCCAGAGCAGGGGCAAGGAAAGGCAGTTTTAGTTCCTACACAGGGCAGCTCAGCCTCTGCCTGCTCCCTGTGCCTCCTGTGTGGCTGCAGAGGTGATGCCCAGGAAGCTAAAATTGGGCAGCAGGGAACACAGGCACCAGGATTGCTGCTGAACTGCTCAAGCAGAGGCAGTCAGTGAAGCTGGAGAGCCCCAGAGCAGAGCTGCAGTGGGCAGCTCAACTGCATTCATTAGATCTGGGGGGGTTGCTTGGGGGTTTGGTTTGTTTCCCTTTTTTCTTACACACACTTTTCCTTTTACTACAATATCTGCAATAGTTCAGCTCTTGATGGTCACACTGCACTTCCTTAGACCCTGCAGCTACTTACCTCTCCTTCCCAGCTATTTTACCTGGGCTTTCCAGACACTCTGGGAACATCAGTGAACACCTCAACCATTCCAGACACACACACAAACTCCGATTCAAACCTAAGTAGTTAAGTACTTTTTCCTTCCCAACAAGTTCTAGAAAAACCTCTTTCCACACCATAAAACCAGACAAAAGAGAACATGAAGACACTGGTGTGTAATCTGATTGTAAGTCCCTCATCACAGAATGGTGAAGGTTGGAAGGGACCTTGAAGATCATCAGTCCCAACCTCCCTGCCATGAGCAGGGGCACCTCATGGTGTCTTTAACTCAGAGCAACTGAACACACAGCAAGTTAAGAGGTGGACAGATTAAAGTCTATAAATACCTGTTCAGAGGGCTGATTAGAAGGAGAAAAGCATGTTCTGGGCTCTTGATTTCTACCCCTGAAGAGTCTTCTCTCCAGAGGACAGTCTTAGGGTCTTTTGTATTTATAAGGCTCCTTCTGGTATCCAAGCTTCCCAGGAGCTTCCCAAGTTGTTTCCAAGCACGGAAGGTCTGGTAAGACAAGTAACCTCTAACAGCTCCCTGGCTACAAGTGGCCCTGCTGCTGTAATTCAGGTATCTTTTATACCTTCCTGGCTGGAGGTGACTTACCTGCTCCACCTGCCTTTCCCCATCCCCACTGAATCACTCCCTTGGCTGCTCCCGCTCCCGCTCCGGCCGGTTCCTGTGACAAACAGGACAGGCTGGAATGCTCCTGATAAGGACACCCCCTGTGCCTGCCCTGGGGAAGCGATAGGAGAAATGTTTATCCCTTCATCTGCTCTGCTCCGGGGAAGGCTGCCTGCTTTGGGGTCAATTCTTGCAGTTCTTCAACTGCCTTTAACATTTCTGCAGGCTCCAGGACCCGCTCCAGTCGGTGCAGATGCACTGGTTGCCTTTCCCAGGGCAGCAAATCTTCCAAAGGGTAACTTCAACACACTCAAAAATACCAATCATTAGGCTTTTATCCCTTCCTAAAAGACAAATAACTTGAAAGTGCCCTCAACTTATAGCAGAAACAAGATGCTGGCAGTGAAATCCCTCATGACTGGTCGAGGGAAAGAAAAGAAACGTTGCACGAGAAAAAATCCAGTGTAAGTTTGAAATCTGGTTGTAAAGGAATTGAAGCACTTTGCTACAAACTCAGGTAGAATTGGTCAACATAATGCTATCTGGATTGTCAGAGAGAAGGAATTTAACTTCTTTGCAGCTTTTGGTAGGAAGAGAAATATGATTTGACCTGCCAGTGTTTGGTGGTTCAAAGGACACCAGCCCGTGAGGCAGAAAAAAAAGAACAAACAAATTTACACTCACGTGCAGATAAGGAAACAAGTGTGGGTGCCTGGGGAGGGGAAGTGACAGGGAAACATTTGAAATGTAGCCTGGTTCTTATTTGTGGTTTATCCTCCTCTTTTTGGTTGGTTTGTTTCTCAAAGAAACACCACAAGGTGGTCTGTGGTTTTTTATTTTCAGGGTGGTATCAGAGAATCACAGAATCCTTTTGGTTGGGAAAAAAAACAACCCTTGAAGATCATCAAGTGCAACTAAATCCCTTCTTAAAAAAACTTCACTCTTAAAATAGATGGAACTGTATAGTTCCATTTTTGAGACAGGGAAGTGTCTAAATCCCTTGGACTTTTCCTGGCAATCAGATGCAACTCCCCTTGGTGCCACATTCCTCTAGTTCAGGTCACACTGCTCAGTTCCAGGGAGTCGAAATCCCAAAGGAGGTTTTCAGGAACACAAGAAGCATTTTGAACTCACTGAAGTTTTAAACCAGTTTGAAGATTCAAACTAAGGTCACCAGGTCTTTCCACAGCTAGAAGGATCTGGCTGTGTTCCTCCAGTGGATTCAAGATGAGTGGGTGACTCTGGAAGACAAACACCTCAGTGGAGAATGCAGGTCAAGAATAAACTTTCCCAAATCCACATCCCAGTGGCCTGGCTCCCTCCAGGCTGTGTCCCTGAGCCACAGCAATCCCTAGTGCTGGGCTGAGCAGGGAATACCAACATGCAGCCCTTCTCCCCAGCTATTTATGTTGCTGCTGAGGGCTGAGGGAGGCTGGGAGCCAGCAGTGGTCAGGGCTGACAAAGCAGGATGCTGGATGAATGGCTCCAGATCGGATTTTTAGAAGTCTTGCTCACTTAGTCATTGCCTTGGTAAACTGGGCTCAAAATTAACCACCTTTGGTTACATTGGGTAACACACCAAGGAACAAAATGCCTTGGTTTGGGTCCAGGTGGGAGCTTCCTCCCCTGGTGGTCAGTGGGACAGCCCCGAGTCCCTCTGCTCATGCTCTCAAGACAGACACAGGCACTTTTCCAGCCCCTAAATCCACTGGCAAAGACCAAGAGGGCTGAACATCATGCACAGACCAGCTCTGGGCTGGAGTCTGGGGGGTTTCTGGGGCTGGTTTCCCATGGGTCTCAAGGTGTTTGCAG